AAATCTGTCAAATAGTGAAGAGATTGAGGGGAGCTTTGTCATTAAAATCCTCAGAAAAACTACGCTGCTGGGTTTTCTGTAAAATTAATAGGCGCGTTTAATTTACTGCCATACTTTAAATAAAAAAGATCTATTCCTCGCACAAAAAAATTTTCGAATTATAATTTTTTTGTTTATATTTAATTTTTTAAATAATTTCTAATATGTATTTCATGGTTTAAAAGAAAAAAGAAACACTAGTAGAAAATGAAGCAGATTTAAGACAACGAATCAGAAATGGATGCCAGCAAGTCAGACAAATGCCAGCAATTTTTGAAAATGTACGACAGTCGTTGAGGAAAAAGTTCGTCGCTTGTGTGGCTGTCTAACTTGCTGACATCAATTTATCATTCGTTGTCTTAAATCTGCTTCATTTTCTACTGTTGTTTAATTTTTTTTAAAACCATAAAGTACCCATTAGATTTATTGTGTGAAGAAAATGCAAGAGACCTTTTTTATTTAAAACTCAACAGGAAATTATACGCAGCTATTAATTTTTCTGAAAATCCAGTGGCGTAGATTTTCTGAGGGTTTTAATGACGAAGCACCCTTGAATCTCCGCCACTGGTTGACATATTTATATAGAAATATACCGAATTATTACTTTTAATTAGTTACATCATTTCCCCAAGTTTTGTCAGTCTGCTTCAAACATCTTCAGAGATAATTAAAAAAATGTGATATTTTTCAAAAACTTTAACGATCTCTATCCTGGAAACCAGTAACTTCAGTGCCCTGGTTTTTTAAAGCTTTTGGGCTTAAAATGACCCAAGGAATCACCCCCTTCATTTATTACATAGACTTAGGATACACCCTGTGACCGAATAAATAATTCAAAAAAATTGCACATAGGTCGCTTTGTCGTCTTTCTTAATATAATTGAAACTTGACGCATTAAATTTTTGCGATAAGGTCAATTTTGACATCAAAATATGTCCTACTTTTAGGATTGAAAGTCGTGGAAAATTCTGAAAGTATTGAAATTAAAAGTCAGGGGCACATCTGTGTATAAAAATCTATAAATTAATTAAGTACATATTAAGTAAATAGTCCAATTTATATGCATAATCTTTCACTGATGTTAAATACTTGGCGTCCTCGCTAGCACCTAAAACCTCAAAATTTTGTTAGTAAACACTATTGACATTTATTGTACTTACAGTCAAATCCAGTGACGGCTATTGACTTCCATACTAGAGAGGGCGGAAAAATTTAGGTACAAAATATTTAAAAAAAGTCAAATATAATAGGGTATTTTTATTTCAAGTACTATTGAAATATAGGGAAACTGTACTCAGCATTATTTTTTATATTACGAGTCAATTCGTCTGCTTTTGTCCGAAATAAACTTTTTAATTATTTTTTCATTAAAGTTTGGTATTTCTCACACCATTTATTTTTCAATTTTTTTACAATTTTAAAAAAGAGCAATTTTACGCCACACCTAAACAAATTACGTTTAATAAGAAAAAAAGCGGTGAATAACTATTGTCTGCTTACGATCGGGCTAAACAGAGCCCAAGCTACATGGTAAAAATGCGCTACTCCCACTCCGTCTTTCACTGGTGCGTGATGGTAGCCATGACCACCGCTGTAAACACTTTATAGATAATAGAAGCGAGCTATGACGAGCCCACGTATTCAGAGTTTTGCAAACGAATTTTGCAATTGACTATACATTACAAATTTAACATTTCCTTTTTAATGTGTTTCATAAAGCTAATCTATTCAATTATGTAAACATTGTGAACTAAATTTTGAATTATTTTTTTACTACTAAAATTTTGTGGGGGGGGAGGGGGCGTCCCCACACCAGCCGCCACTGGTCACTTATGTCGATGTATATACCATACCATGATTGTTAGTAGGCACAGGGTATCCCAGCTACATATTAACCCATCAAAAACTAATAACGTACGCGAATTTTTATGCAATTATTAAAAGATTCATAACTCGATTGACAATTAATTGTGGTTTACAAGGTATAAATAACATAATCTTATTTATGTAAAATTATACAACCCAAACGAGTGCAGTTACGCACTGAGGGTGATTTCACCAAACACCGCAATTAGACGTGCTCGAACTACAAGTTTTGTCTGAACAAAATCCAGATAATTTATTTTTCCTAAATTCTCTTTTGTCTTGAATCTACAGATAGTGATGGAATCTTCACTGTTTGGGGAAACCGGTGACATAATATAGTATTTTTTTGTCAGGCGATTTTTCCCATGTAACAGTAAAAAACTTTTACTTGATATAGCTACAACTTTTAGATTAAACATGTTTTTGTAAATAAAAATAAATAAACTTAAGGTCGAGGAAAAATTTTGCTAGTGATCATGGAAAACCCGGAAAGTGCAGATATTTTGATGAATTAAGGCTTGCGCACACTAGCCGGCAACAGCCGACAACGGAACGGACCACGGCGGCCGGCAATTATATTCAACCATGCATTTGGAATGGAACAGCGCCCATTAGCCAGTAACGGACCACAATGCAACACGGCGGCCTGAACGAAAATCTCCATCTCTTCATGTATCCATTTTCGCTTTCTTTTTAGCTTTGCAATTTGTTTTTTTCTCTTCCTCACATAGTAAACTTACAATTATAGCCTTTGCCTCCATCTTCAGCAAAATAAAGTGAGCGACTGACTAGAAAATTTATGGCTAGAGCGCGCTACGCTAAAAAATTGCCGGGCGCCGTGATGCGTTTCGTTGTCGACTGTTGCCAGCTAGTGCGCGCAAGCCTTTAATGGATACCCCTAGAAAACATACAAAAATATTTGTGTTTTTTGTTTTCCATTGAGGCTGGAAAACAAACATTTTAAACACAAACATTAGCAAATTAATGTGGATATGTTTGTTCACAAAAAATGGGCAAATTGCAGTTAAAACTTTTTTATTTTATATCTCGATAAATAAACCGATTTTTAAATCTGAAGTTTCTAAGTCAGTGACTGTTATTCTCAAAATATTTCTGAATCCGGCAGCTCTTAAAATTTTTCAGAATGTTGTACTCCATCTAGAAAAATGTCATCCTTCAACATCTTCTAATTTTCCTTCTTAAATTCACTTTGAAGTATACAGAGTGGTCCGAATTGTATGCAGGAAACTTCGAGGGCAGATAGATCTCTTTAAAATAATATGTATTTGCCTTATAAACATAGGTCTGGAACGGCACCGTTTTAGAGATACAGGGTGTTGAAGTTGTCAAAAAAAATTGATTTTTTGTTTATATCTCCGGAATCTATTAACCGATCTCAATAAAATTTGGTACATATAATGTATGATAGTAGGCCTTATATTCCCTGAAATATGAGCTTTAAAGGTTCAACCAGTGGTGTACAACTGGACAGGGGTCACCCCCTTTTTTACAAAAAAACCTACGCCACTGCATTTTTTACATGTCATTGTAACTGATTTATATTTTAATGCACAAAATACGTAAAAAAGGTGACTTTAATTTTTTCCCTAAGATTCGCCGTTCTCAAGTTATTCATACCAATACAATCCCCTTGTGGCAGACACTTCTAACGATAATATTACAAGAATATTTGTTTATGTTTAAAAGTAAGTGCAATTTGTAAGCACATCAACAAAATTATTTACACTCCTTTCTACACCACCTGTGAGGTAGTGTGCGATATAAACAAAAAATCAATTTTTTTTAAAACCTCAACACCCTGTATCTCTAAAACGGGGCCGTTCCAGACCTATGTTTATAAGGCAAACACATATTATTTTAAAGAGATCTATCTACCCTCGAAGTTTCCTGCATAAAATTCGGACCACCCTGTATATATTCCTTGAAATATTGAAACCGAATTAATATTTTCTAATGTGGACATAGTGTACTATATACTGGTATGAGTTTTTGTATTAATTATATTTAGACATATCATTTTTGGTTTTTATTTTGAATAATTATTTATTACTAGCTGTTTCTGATTATTGGGAGTATAATTCAATGTCAGTTCGGGTACCTATAGAGTACTATAGTGCCTATAGAGTAACTCTGTTGCTTGCGCAAAAAACTCAAATCCACTGCAACTGATTTGCGAGAAATTATAAAATAATAATTTATATTAAACACAAGAAATTATAATAGGAACGATACATTTTCCATAGTAAGCATATGAGAATGAAATCAACATATCACCAAAATATTATCATCATTATAACCGTAATTTGGGTTTTATCTTGATTTAGACATGTGAACTTTTAGTAAGAAAGTATGTTTTTTTGCGCGTTAGCTATAGAATTGTTTCCCGCAATATCATCAGTCATGAATCTTATATGTGTAGTTATACATCTTTACTTAGGTTTTATTTAGAAACATTTTGAATTTGTTTGAATCAGCTTAGAACCTTGAAAATAAAGTAAAAAATATAAGAGGAGAATACACTATCACTTTTTCGTTTTTTTTTATTTAAGTGGGTATTTCTGCTAAATAACCTTTTGAGCCAAAACGGTCAGTCAAAGAGTTGATTGTATAAATTTAGTTGTACTTAACCAGAATTATCACAGTGAGACAATTCCTCATAATACAAGAAGCACTAAAATACATCACACAACTTACGTTTTGAACTCTATTTCCGTTATCAAAACACTAGCTGTAAAATTGACTTAAAAGTCAAATGTGGCAGTTTCTTTGTTACTGAAAATAATAACAATAATAATAATTTTATTTTCCTGCAGGTTACACCCAATTACAGGAAAAGCTAAACAAATTATAAATATAAGGTACTATGTTGTAAGATATTTTCAAACTACCTATATGAAACTACTAAATTATTAAATAATAAATAATTACATACAATATACTACTTCTGTCCTTAATTGTTTGTTCAGGCACAAACAACCATGTTTTTGTTTCCGCATCGGGCGTTTATTGAAAAATTTGAATTGAAACATTGTTTATAGATCTGAATTAGGCTTTATATTATGTGTTTGTTGCAGACGCGGCATCACACCACCACACAGAGTCAAGTCCATCTCGATGGCGACGTTCACCAACGAGGAAATTGATCTCCTGAAGAGCCGGGGCAACGACTACTGCCGGCGGGTCTGGTTGGGTCTCTACGACGGCTCGCCGCCTCTACCCAGCGGCGACGAGCAGGCCATCAAAGACTTCATGGTGGAGAAATACGAGAGGCGCAGGTACTACCTGGACCCGGGGCTCAGCAAACCGGAAGTGACGCCCAACAACACGAGGCCGACGTCAGCGGCGCAGCTAGTTTCGGAACCCAAACCGTTCAAAGCCAACGGCGTGGTCCAGAATGCGCACAGGACGAGGCCGGAAGTGAACAGGAATCATATAAATAATAACAATAATATCAATGGATCTGCCGTTTTCGTGGCCGACTTCGATAAGGCCGATATCTTTAGTAGTACGGGCAGTAGTAACAATTCGCAGTCGTCGAAGGTGCAGAATGGCACGTCGACGTCGTCCTTTGCAAACTTCGACAACAACCCAGTCTTCAGTAATACCAGTACAAATACAACCACCACGATAGGTAAGCAATTTTTTTACAGTTTATATTGCTTTGCAGATTTCGAGCAGATTTTTGCATTCGGCATAACTTAGACAATAATTATTAAGTATTAGCTTTGTCTGTACAGAACTATATAATACCAACTATACAGGGTGTTCTACAAGCTCTATATGACAAATGATAGCTACCATCTGTCAAAGTTTGTCATAGAGCTTGTAGAACACTCGGTATATTAAAACTGATTATTCTAAAACATATTTGACGCTTTTCGAAATATTTGAATGATAAATTTAAAATTCAAATTCAATTGGACTGAAAAGAAGTAGATTTGCGACATACAGGGTGCGTCAAAGTACGATATCTCCGTTATTATAGAAGATTCCAAAAAAAGTTACCTATTTACAAAAATTGTTGCCAACTTAAAACTGCACATTTTAAAATTATTTTCTTACATACAGATTGTTATGTATTACCAGGGTGAACCATACACAATTTTTTTAGTGGGACACCCTATATATTATTTCAAATTTAGATTAAGCTCATATATCCCATGCTTCCAATATAGGGTTTAACTATGTATATATACAGGGTATTCCAAAAGTTATGGTCCATTGTATACGAGAATCATTCCCAGTTCAGCGTCCTGTATACCCTAATCAGAACAGGTTAACAATCATTTTTTGCAGGAATAACTTTTTGATATTGATACAGTTTTACGAGAAAGTGCTATTTCTTTATTATTGCAACAATTGAATATAGGGCGAGCCAAATCTCGAGCACATTGATTTTCTAAATTTTTTTAAATGAATCACCCTGTATTTTATTTAAAAATTGAAAATACACTTTATGTTTTTTTTTTTATAAAGCCCTAAAATCATCAATTTCTGAGACATTTGCCTTTTAATAACAAAAAGAAAGTTTTTAAAAAATTCCTATTATAACAAGTTGGACGTGGGCAAATGACAGTATGACAAATTGGTATAATATGAATTTTTTACTGTCTTTTTGTTATTAAATGGTAAATATCTCAGAAATTAATGATTTTAGCTATAGGGAACGTTTTATAAAAATAAAAGAACGTAAAGTATATTTTCAGTTTATAAAATAAAATTTACAAAATTGAGAAAATCATGTGCTCGAGTTTTGGCTCGCCCCATATTCAACTGTTGCAATAATAAAGAAATAATACGTTCTCGTAAAACTGTATCAATATCAAAAAGTTATTCCTGCAAAAAATTATTGTTAACTTGTTCTGTTTAGGGTATACAGGACGCTCAAATGGGAATGGTTATGGCATACAATGGACCATAACTTTTGGAATACTCTGTATAACATAGTTAAATCCTATATTGAAAGCATTAGAGAGATGAGCTTAATCTAAATTTGAAATAATATATCCCATTTAAAAAATAGTATTTTTGGTTCACCCTGGTAATACATAACACTCCGTATATACGAAAATAATTTTAAAATGTGCAGTTTTAAATAGGCTACAATTTTTGTAAATAACTTTTTTGATATCTTCTTTAATAACGGAGATATTGTACTTCGACGCACTAATGCCGCACCCTGTATGTTAGCCCTTATTTACATATAGCCCATTTTGAGAAAGTAGCCTCAATATTCATTGAATTCAATCATTAAAATTCCTACAGGTTGTTTCATATGGTGATTTCAAATTATTTTTTCTGATTTGCTAAGTTACTATTTACCACATTTTCCGTTATCGTTACTATATTCACATGATTCTATTCTACCCATTAATCTTTCGTTTCGCCTAGAAAAAAATGATAAAGACGTAAGTTGCAGGAAATTTTTGACTGTCTTAAAAATATACATATATAAACAATTAAATGTTGCATTTTGGAATTATAAACTATGCAGTGTTTTATTAAATGAATCTCTCTGTATTATGTTGTTTTTTGAATTCCTGACTCATATCTGGTTAAAATGATTGTATTTGCTTTTATGGTTTGCATAATATTTTGTCCTGATTCTGCACAGTCAAGATTGCCATTGAATTAGTAGTATGTGGGTGTATTTTCCACTAAAACATTTAAATTACAGGCCATATAAATTATTAGATGGTTCTTATTTATAAAAATGTCCTTTGTCTAGAACACCATATAGTTTATATTGTATAGTATAGTATTATTTGAATGAAAGGTATTAAATAGTAAATTTAATAGGGGTAAGCATAAATATTTATGCAAACAAGTGTGAGCGTACTTCCGTGGAAATAGTTATTGTTCTTACAGTATTGAATACTGAACATCACAAAAGAAAAACAGAAAGGAAACTTAACCGTTAACATTGCGTAACAAGAACAATAGATAATGTATAGGTATATAAATTGCAACAATAGAACTAATTAGAGCAGCCGTAGCAGGCAGAATGAGGAGTTGCAGTGCATAAAAAAGAAACAACTAAAATAATAATATAATAATGTTCAATAGAAAATATGTGTTTAATAGTTTTATTACATATTTTAATATTATTTCATTGTTAGAGGTAACTACATTTATTATACGAAACATAAGTGGTAAGTGGAAAATGCGATGTCGTCCTGCGAACAAATAAATACAAAAGTTGTCTTATTCAGGTATTTCCAGAAGGAATATTAAAAGTAAATCGGCGACAGTAAACAAGTTAGAATTTTTTAACTTTTTAAAATCGTATGATTTAATATTAATATAATTTAAGATCATCGCTAACAAAAAAAGACGTTTACAATTATAGATTACTTCAAGTAAATCATTGATAAAAGAAAAAACGACAGCGGTCTCAAGTTGGAGCTTTGAGGCATACCTGAATTAGACTTGTATTGAGCAGAACAGATAGTGTTATATTTTATAACAAACGTTCGATTTTTTAAGTACAATATATTCAACATAATTAATTCATTAGAAGTGCCATACATATATAATTATTTCACAAAACATTGTGATTTACTTTATAAAATGCTGTGTTTACAACATCTACTTGAACAGCTTTTTCAAATCCTGAAGAATGTCTTGAGTAGATACAAGTGTACAGAATTTGTTCTAAAACTTTAACTGCAAGTAGTGCAATCTGCCTACAATTCTGGATAAATTTTTTATCACTAGATTTATAAATAGGCGATACTAACGACGGTTTCCAATACGAGAGAAATACTGGTATGATTTTTTAAAATTAAAGTATACGCAGTGATTGATTCCATGACTATTGACTATATTTATTGTAGAGTGTTACAAAATATTGTGTAAACTGTTAAAAATAATATATATGATGTAATTGTTGTAATTAAAAAAATGAGAGGATTTCGAAGAGTGGTAAATACAAGTGTAGGGTGTTCTATAAAAATACAGATTTCTTTAATATCTTCTAAATACGATATGTAGCTGTTTCTTATACCTACATTTCTTTGAGATTGAAAGAAAATTTCTTAAAACTGCCTTTATTTACTGCCTTTTTCTAAACGAAAATTTAAAAAAGAAAAATATATATAATAGATATAAATAAAATAATAAACTTTAGTATTTACTGCCTTTTTCTAAACGAAAATTTTAAAAAAATATATATATAATAGATATAAATGTATATATTGAATCTGAGAAACTTAAACAATTTCATCAGGTGTCGAATTTGGTTTATATCCAATTCATATTATTTTTTTCTTTTTTTAGATTTATTTTACCTTGTATCCTTATGCTAGCACACATATCTGTGCAAACTTTCTAGCATATCTCCTAGAGGCAGCCTTCAGTGCTGAGAAAGCGCGACTGGTGTGCGAGAGAGAAAGGAGAATAAAAGGACATGCTATCTCTCTCGCTCCGCGAGCTGATTGGTCGGGGCTTAGGTGCAGGACGGATTGGCATGGAGGGAAGCACGCACCGACGAATCCGGTTCTCGGAGCGAGAGAGATATCATGTCCTTTTATTCCCCTTTCTCTCTCGCACACCAGTCGCGCTTTATCAGCACTGTTGGCTGCCTCTAGGAGTATATGTTCGAAGGTGCAAACCGATGGATTTCCCATCTATACGTCAGATAAATCTGCACAGTTTGTTCTGTGCAGATAAATCGATGGTAGGCTACACACGATAAACTGTCACGATAAATTTGCACAGTGCAGATAAACTAAGAGAAACCGTTACGATTTATCATTAGAACGTTAACACTAATGTATTAGTACGTTGACATTATTTTTAATGATCTTTCTGGATCCCATAACTATTAACGTTTCGGTTATTAATGTCCAATAAGTGCGCCTACTTATTCAAATTGAAGATCGTATTAAAAAACAGTTCAGTAATTTTTTAGTCAGTTTATTGCAGATTAACCCATTTAATACTTACATAAATGAATTTGATAGATTATTAGTAGGTACTTATCAGTAATTGATTATACGGATATATAGTGTGTCATATTTTGCGATACAGATCTGGTAAACAGTAAATATCTACATACCACATAATTCCTTATTTAAAAAAAATGTATACGTTACGGTGAGTAATACAAAAGAAAGTAAACCATCATCGAAAGTGCTTCCTAAATGCGATGACCCACTTAATTAAAAGTTGAAATTCCGCCGAACGCATTTCAAATAATTAGTAGAATGTATGTGCATTGTTATTTTTTTTCTTAGCGTCTCTAATTAATGAGACTCATTTTTAAGTAAATACTTTTGTTGTTTTTGATATGATTCATTAACATTTATTGTGAAAGGGAGGGTACCTAAGCGAACGGACTTGAATAAGAATATGTTCTCTAGAAAAAAAAATTGAATCACCCTCTTAGTTTTTAAACACATTAAGGGTGTAACGCGCCAAAGATGTGTTGCGCCAAACTCGGCCATTATTAACAGACAAATAGAGCGACATCATTTTTCCTAAATTCTTTCATACAAATTTTTAAAGCCGTTAAACACAATTATTCATTCAAGAACTGTTGAAATTATAGACTTCATGCTTGGTGCAGTGCAATTCCTTCAGTAGCGGTACATGGATCTAAAATTTGAAGGAAAATTAACCAGTAGCGAC